GGCAAAGCTGAAAGAAAACGTGTAAAGTACTTACCTGTAATACATTCATCTAGAGGATCCTGGTTTTTTTATTTCTTAGTATCACGGTACCTTCTGTGCCGTTTATGATAGTTGAAATCTGAAACAGGAAATAATAAAGAAACTTTATTAGTAAATAATAGTGACTGCTTTTAGGTTAATTATTGAGAACTAAGTAGAAACTAACTTTCTAGTGGAATCTGACTAATCTTATTTAAACCTAATAATAATAAATTACTTAACTTTGTATAAACCTAAGTGTAGTGATTGTCGAGCTAGGAGCCAAGCTGACGCTGGAGGGGTGACAATAAGCTACGAGGGTAAGTGAGAACTTTCTGTATGGTTTTCTTTGACATTGAACTTGAACGAGCTAAGACTTTCCTATTAGTGGTTTGCAAATAAAGTGCCTAGAACATATTTGGAACTAAATTTAGATTCTTATTTCCCAATAGAGACTTTAAGTGAATTGTTGCATAACTTTGAACTAGTGACTGTTAATACCAAATAAAGACATTACCTTTCTAATTCAGTAACATATATTAAAAAACCTCGGTGGTTAGTAAAGTTGTAATTAACCAAAATTGCCCTAGTTGTATATTATCCAGTTATTGCCTGTATGTAAACATGACTTCAAGAGAGCGAGCCCGCGCATGCGCGCTGCAACCCGCTAATATTGTAGTGGACGATCACCTGCATGAATCATTGACGTCCACAGAGTCACTTGAAGGGGCCTTTGTGGCCACCGAACACCAAGATAATGGCATGGATGTACGGGTAGGGCATGATGGAGGTCAAATCCGCCCACACATTAATGTGTTAACGGAATACCCCGATGAGTCACAAGAAATGAACCCGGACGCAAGCGCCGGAGGGCTCGGCGATGCTTTTAGAGCATGCGCACGAAGATAGTCCTGTCGCGGTCGCGAGGGCTTCCGCGATTTCCGTGGAAAAAAGTCAGCGCGAGAAATCAGGGAAACAGTTTTGTTGAATTGGGGGCGTGGTAATCGGCCCGGATTGGTGGAGACGCCGTTTTTGGGCGTGGCCTGGGAAATCGGGTTCCAGATAAATAACGCGAGCCGCGATGGTCTCGAGAGCAATCTTGGAAGTCTTATGAGAGTCCTGTTGTGCGTAATTTCGGTTTTCTTTTGGATAAAAGAATTACGAATCGGTATTAGCTACGTCGGGTGTTCTGAGGGAACGGAAATAACCCCGAAATAGTAGAATCGCAGTGCAAATTGACTTTCGTATTGGGAAAATTGCCAAACGTCGTTTCTCGAAACTATTGAATAGTTCGAGGTAGAATTTCTAGTAGGGAAAGATAGACATTAGTGAGTAAATAGTATTGGAGAGCCTAAGATATAGTTTATACTTACCTGTAGAGTCGCGAAGACGGTTCGGGGAGTTGAGTCAAGTAGAGTTGGTTCGCGAAGAGTCGAGGCGTCGTTGAACGGCGTCATCTAGGAGTTCTTCAAGTCTGAGCTGAAACAAAAGTATTATTAGTGTATTAAAAACTTATCGACAATATATGTGTCTAGTGTGACGTCTAGCGTTTCTTTCTGCATCTCTGTTTTGGCGATACCATCAGTATTGCTTCCTGGTATTAACTAAATAGGTACTGAAGTGAAAAAGAATTCGATTATTAGTACCTTAATCTGTAAGCCAGAGGGCTAAATGTATGTAGTCAGAAAATTATAGATAAAAACTTGACTTTAAAGTGAGAACTAATAATAACTTACTAAATTTGATTAAATCAGAGTGCACCGAAGTAGGACCAACTCAACGCGGACCCAGAGAGCAGACCGTAGTAAAAACGGGTAAGTGAGAACTGTGGGGTAAAAGTAAACTTTTGAGACTTTGAACTTTTGATAGAGAGTGTTGAGACTTTGAGATAGACTAAATCGTAAAGATAGAGACTAGTAGTGAAAAGTATTAAGTAAACAACTTGGTGGGTAACCTAGCCGCGGAACTAGTATTTCCAATTTTGTGTAAAACTGTATAAACTTGTTGTAAATTGTAAAATGACATCAAGAGAGAGATTTGCTGCTTGCGCACTCCAGCCGGAGCGCGTCATAGAGGAGGCTCGGGTAGAAGAATCACTAACCTCCACTGAATCTTTAGAGGGGGTGTTTAATATACCGGGGGAGATCGGAATAGAGGGCGCGATGGCACCAGTCCGGAATTTAGGGGGCATGCGTCCCGGAGTTACCTTTCCTTACTCTGAAAATGTAGAAGCTAACAATATTTACCCGGAACAAGAAGCCGGAGGGTCCGTCGGCCTCCCGGGCGCATGCGCAAACGTTGGCGCAGCGATCCGAAGGCGCGAACGAGAACAGTCCAGCCTTTTTATGTGTTTCGGTGCGGTAGAGCTAGGCTCCGCCCACCGCACCGAAAACTCGACCTTAGTGACAATACAGGAAGACCAGACCTCGAATGGAAACAAACATAATACTACGAACTTTTTAAATTTGTTTTAAAATAAATTACATTCTGGTGTAGATAAATTTATTTCAACGTTAATATAATTTGCTCACATTAAATCGTTCAGCAATACAAGAAATTATCACTGCAGTTCCAAATTTATTGTCACTGGGATAATAACTGAAATTAAAAATTCTTTACTTTATGAAAACAAAAGAGTGTAATGAAATGTTAAATATTATGGAATGTTCCTTTAAACATTTGGATACAGAATACAAACGAACTCAGTATTTTGAAAAATGCAAAAATTTGATTAAACCAATTCCATTTTAGTATTGGTACTGTTGAAGATCTAATGAGAAAAGGTAATAATACGTTTCTTATCTTAAAACAAAGATTAGGTTATTTTATATCCATTAAATTGCAATTAAAATCATTTTTAGAAATTAGAAAAAATAAGACAATGTGTGACTATAGAGAAAAAAGTTTGCATCACTGTGATAGTGAATATATAACCAATATAATGCAGGCTGACTGACATATGGAATCCATATTCTGATTCTAACAAAAAAATGTATTTCCAATAAGAGGTACTGCTGGCGTATTCTGTATCGTCATAGAGAGGAAATTTCTTTCTATAAACTCTTTCTACAAAGTTACCTTATTCTGTAAGGTACTTCGGCAGCGGTCGTGTTGCACGAACGCTTCGTTCGGTAGAGAGGAATAGAAAGACCATTTTAGGTCTTTCCAGGATGTTTCTATTATCTCTTTTTAACACACAATCATTAATTTTTATCTTTGTCGACATGTTTACTTGAAAAGTGCGGTCCCAGAATAATGAACATATTATTCTGTGGTGCGGTTATGATGTAGTCATGTAGACATATACACGTATGTCGATAAATAAATACTTATTGTGATCTGTGATAAATACAATGGGTAAGTTATAATTAATAGCAAGGCATAATTACTTAAATTTTCAAGTAACATTTCGCAGATAAACGTAATTTTAAAACACACCCTCAACAATGGACCATCATTGTCGATTTTGGAGAGAACCATCCCACAATTTTCAGGCCCCAATTTAAACATGGGGATGGTGATGCAAGGCAGAATGCAAAATTGTGGGATGAATTAGCCAATATGTTAAATTCCATGGGATTTGGGTTTAGAAGCATTGACAAATGGAAAATGGTATGGTGTTTTATATCATTTATAAACTTATTAGGTGTAAAAATACTTATTAGTTTCAAGAATTTATTAATTTTAAATATTGTTGTAGGCAATCGGGCGATGGAAGTCAAAGACAAAGTCGAAAGCAGCTCAGTTGAGGATCGAGGCGCAAAAAACTGGTGGTGGCCCTTCAAACACCTTCCCTTTGGCAGAAACAGAAGAACGGCTAATGAAGTTAGTGGGTTGGAAATCTATAACTGGAGAGGCAAATGCAGAGTTAGGAATGGTAATTATAACATTTTTAAAAAATGGTTCATATCAATTAGTGCAAGTAGTGCTATGTTTAAATAAAATTGCGAGTAGAATTGCAGTATAGATATTTACAATATTAACATAATGTCACTTATAGGGACCTATTCGACCAATTGTGGCCCATCTGCCTTTGCCACAACCACAACCCTTGACAGGCCAAGACAATTCCTTACCACTACCAGAACCACAGCCTTCCAGCACCACAGAAACAGAAGGACCTGCCTATTCATCCAAGTCTCCTCCACCATTGACGTCATCCAATGGACCAACCAGGAAACGTAGTCGCCTGTCTACTGACAAGTCTAGGAAGTATATTTCCTTGTCAAAAATGCATCAAGAGGCAATGGAAGAAAGAAGAAAACTGAAGGAAATTGTCAGAAGACAGGCCGAAGCCCAAGAGGCAACGGCCCAGATATTAAAAGATTTTTTTGCTTACTATAAAAAGAAAGATAACAATATCTAAACATAAATATTTGTTGATTGTTGTCTTTTGTATTTTATTTTGGCGGAATAAGAACTATTTTTTTGTTAACTACATACAGTGTCTCCATGGAATGGGTGCACGTGGGCTGTAAGTGAATTTAATTTAATGTATTTAATTTTTTAACGCATGTGCAGACATTACAAGCACGATAACCAATCAAGGGAATCATCCCTGCTTGGTATTAAACTGAGAAGTTAAAAAAATTAGTCCAATTAATTAATGTACAGGGTGTTTCTGCAAAGAATTTTAAAAATTTTCAAGAGTAAAGTAATAATTTGTGAAAATTAATCGTAAAAACCCCCTGTAAATTAATCAATTGGATTAATTTTTTTCTACTTATTAGTGTAACACCAAACAGGGATAAAGCTGAAATTTCAACTCGAAAATTATCTGTCATTTATGCCCCACGTGCACTCAATCTGTGGACATACTGTATCTTTATCTTTATTTAGACCTTTGCTCGATTTTTTCCATAAAATTTCATTAAAACTCTGTCTAAATAAACAAGGGATTTTTGAGATTTTTAAGTGTTGTTTGAGATTTTTAAGTGTTTTATTTAAAATATATAATTAAATATTTTGGAAATACATTTGTATTATATTAGCTCTTCTCGCCTGCCCTTGTACAAGGACATTTCTTGCAGTACCAACTCTATCCTCATCAGGAATATTTTCTTCGTCATCACGTTCCTCCTCTTCATCACCTTCGATGGCCAGATTAGCCCTAACACACATATTGTGTAGAACACTAACTGCATTGATGATTTGGCCGGCTTTGAAGGGGTCATAATTTAAGGCCCTGTCCTTCAGTAGATAGCGAAATCGGTTTTTCAATACTTCTGAAACAAATCATTTTCGTTATTAGTACAAAAATATACTGTGAACATGTTTTAGACAATACCTATACATCTTTCCACACAATTTCTGGTACTTGTTAAAGCTGCCGTAAATATCTACCTTCGGGAGTATCTCTGGGCACACCTTGAATAGGAGTCATAAGCCATGGCTCTTGAGTGTAGCCACTGTCTCCAAGTAGCCACGAATTGTGATCACCCTGATCATACATTTGTTCTAAATGTGTCCTTACGTTGGAATTTCTCCAAATAAACGCATTGAGAAATGCACCACCATAATTGGACTTAACATTTAATATCATTAGATTCGCGGCGCATATTAATTGTACATTCTTCGAATGATATTGTTTTCTATTGAAATATAAATGTTCATCTTCTCGTGGTGCAACAATGGCAATATGAGTGCCATCGATGCAGCCTACCACCCCTGGAAATCCAAACCGGGCCATACTCTTCTTTTTTTTCTTGCTTTTCGGCTTCAGTTATGGGAAATTTTATCCACCTATGGGCAATGGCCTCTAGAGCCAAACACACCTCATATAGTGCCCGGCTAAATGCAGGTTGTGATAGGACCACATGCATTTCATTTCCGCTTGCCTTCTGATATGAGCCGTGAGCAAAAAAACTTAGGGCTGCAAAGATCCTGATATGGATATGTAACTCTTGTTGCTCTAGTTCCTGCGTTCATATGGGGGGTAAGTTCACGAATGAGATCTTGTACCAACTGTCGACTTAGCCTGAAGCATTTCTGGAATTCTCGTTCGGGCAATTCGAAAGCATTTTGTTCATCTCGCAAAATTCTTCTCTCCAAACGTAATTGGTTTTGTCGTTCTTCATCTTCTGCTTCCTGTAGCAAATGTAGGAATATTGGGTCCATAGTTTATAATGTACACCTACTAAAAAACGAAAAACTAGGAACAGATATTATGCTATAGTTTTTATTTTTACACGGATTATAAACTGAAACGTGAAAAATTTCTTACACAACTCGAAAATAAAAAATTCTCGTAAAATATATAAACATATGTTGCCATGCCAACTTAATCGAAAAGTCCTAAAAGTTATCCCAAATTTCCTTAAAAAAAGTCAATGTTTTTACATTGAATAATTCACATTTCTCTATAGCCGAGCGTACCCGACCGACCATAGAAAGATTGGTACAGAATAGGTTCACGTAATAGAAAGAAATTTCCTCTCTATACTTATAGAAAGAAATTTCTTTCCCTACGACGATACAGAATACGCGCGCTGTATTTCTATTTTCTATTTCTATTTCTAGTGACAGTTTAAGTGACATTGCAAAAGCAAAATCAATATTCATTGGGCAACTCTTTTTAGATCAGATTACATCGCTAGGATGAGGTTAGTCAGACCTAAACAGCCATAACATTAATGTAATTGATTTCAGTTTCTTCTGGAAATACCAAAGGCCAGATACAAACTTATAATTATTGAGACCGGGAAAGAAAACCGGTGACACTACAGTTACCAACTGAGATATTTATCCAGTGGAAATATCTGTTTTCAACTAGGATACAGAGGTGACCTCAAAGAAGAAAATCTGGTTCAAGTAAACCCAAAAAAATGTACAACTCAAGCCTTCCAATAGCGGAATCAAAGTTTCACCATCTTCAGCAGCTACAATTCGTCATTGAAAAAGACCGCCATGCATTTTATGATGCTCTAAAGTTTAAACCGGATGTAAATAAAACAAAATAAAGCATAAAGAGTTCTACTTATTTTTGTAACTTTGCTTATTAAATGTATTTTAAAATATTGTATTTGTACAAATAACAATGATTAACAATATGTAACGGTCTCATTGTGAGCCCATATTATTTAATCACCCTGTAAATGCTTGGTTAGAATAATATTGATAACTAAGTGTTTATTTTAACTTTGTCATGTACTGTCTTCAATAACAAAAAGAGTAGTTTTGAATACTTTTTCCTGAAGTTAATGCTATGCAACTCTCTTATTTATTCTTTGTAAAGGTGGGATTTCCTAGCGTCGTCCAGCGTTCGCGGTCCGCCGCGACGGCGGGCAGTTGATGACACGTACAATGCGTTTTTAATGCGACCGTTTTCTCTGAGGCGTGTCGACGTGTCGTCTCAGCGTCGGGTCGTCAGCGGCTGCGTCTCGACTGCTCAAAAACATGTCCAGACGCGAACGTAGACCCAGCCGTCACTTATTATTAACATATCTGTTGAAAAATAAGCTTGTGGTAAAATTAAACAAGTGTAAAATGTCTCAAAAATTTTCACATGCAGACGACGAAGTGTTGATTGATCAAGTACGTGAGTTTCCTTGCATATATGACCACGAAAATAAAGACTTTAAAGATTATCGAATTCGGGAAAATGTGTGGAACCAAATTGGTGGAGTTTTATCCAAGATTTGTAAGTATAAATATTATTAAATCATTGTTTTTAGCTTCTGTGGTTCACAGAATACCATTAAAATTAGAATTTAGTTAGAATTAGTTTTTAATTTATTAGAATTAATTTTTGGACTACTTGAATGAGGGTTTCAGTACCTACGATCATTTGCAAGCGCTAAAAACATTCTTTCGTATTCCACGCGGTAGGATAGACGTAGGTATAGGTACAGCGTGATCATTTTAAGTGCCTCACTCGATTTTTTCGCTTCATCTATGACTTAAGAAAGAAAATCAAAAACTATACACTACACGTATGTATTTTTAATTTTTATTATGCCTACCTATACATATATAAAAAGTATTAACTGGAGACTCTAAATACTCTGTTGTGATGCCACTCTTTAGCTCATTCTTCGTAAAAAAAATTCGCAAACATTTCTCTGATTTCCAACCCAGTTGCATCTGCAAATCCTCCTCCTCCTGTTAATTGAGTCACGTTGATTGACAATTGTAAATTTGAGTCATATTCATAATAAGGCTTACTATTTTTTTCCAAAAATCCATCTCTTAAGGGATTATGAAGACAACAAGTTACCATAATCAGCTTATCACATACCTCCGGTTTCACAGCTATTGGGGTATTATAGATGCGAAAAACTTGACATAATAGACCAAATGCATTTTCAGTGACACGTCTGGCCCTACACAGTCGATAATTGTAAATAGTTTTTCTCTTATCACCTCTAGCCGATAACTTGCTATATGGTTTCATTAAATGTCGGTGCAATCTAAACGCTTCATCTCCGACCACTATGTAAGGTAGGTAACTTCCTATTTGAATTCGGAAGACATTCGTCATTTGGAAATAAGTTTCCTGAGTACACCTGGTTGCCCATCATTGAACTAGAAAAAACAGCACTGTCTCCCTCTTTGCCGTAGGCACCCACATCAACAAATACAAATTTGCAGTGTGCATCAACCATTGCCAGCAGAACTATTGAAAAAAAGTCTTTATAGTTGTAAAATAGAGATCCACTGTTGTTGGGACAAAAAATTCGGATATGTTTTCCATCGACTCCTGCAACACAGTTGGGAAAATGCCATTTTCTCCAAAATTCCAATGCTTTTTCTTTCATATTTTCACCACTATATGATGGTAGAAAAATTGGAACTAATTGTAAACATAAAACTTCCAATGTTTCTCGAATAATAACTGAGATGTAGCTGAATGATATGCGGAAGGCAAATGAAAGGGATCTAAATGTCTCTCCCGTAACCAAAAATCTGAAACACAAAACTGTTTTTAAACGCTAGCTATCTTCTTAATAGTATTACAGATTGTATATTTTAGCTGAGGACTGCAAAATACGCTGGAAACATATTCGTGATAAGTATTTGAAAAACAAAAGAAAGCAAAAGCAAGGAACTGGTTCCGCGGCATCATCGCGACCAACCAAGTGGCCACTATTTGAACACCTGAAATTTTTAGAATTAGTAAAGTCTGATCGAAGGTATGAACTTGTCTTTTTTTTTGTTTATAAGCAAATTAATCCTTTTATACTTATTACAGGCGAATTCAAAATTTCGAAGAAAGTCAAAACGACAATAATTCACAATCCCAAACATTCCATGGTGATGATGTCAGTGATTCAGAATCCCAAAATAGGACAGTATGGAACGAAATTCAGGACGTAACATCACCGGAATCTATCGATTTGAACATACCTGCAAAAAGAACAAAACCTAATACGGACACAAGTTGTTCAAACACTCCCAGTCGTTCGAACACTCCCAGTCGTTCGAACACTTCCAGTCGTTCGAACACTCCATCACTGTCAAGAAACCTTAATAAACCTTCAATATCGGCAAGATCAAAACTGTTGAAAGATTTAGAAGAGAGGTCAAAGGAGCGCATGGAAATTTATTCAAAACTCACTGATCAAAAAGAAGACGAGGTTGATTTGTTTATGAGGAGCCAATTAACCAAGCCAAATTGCAAATTTTAACCCTAGTAACAAATTTCCAAGCATCAATAGATACTCCACAGCAACTACAACCGATTCAGTAAACGCTATTCAACCATCAACTTCTTCAGCTAACTCACAATACAATTACACAATGAGTGGACAATATTTCCAACTGTGAAGATGTCTACTTGTCTTTCCAAATTTTAAATAAAATTTGTCTTACCTTAGTGTCAGTGCTAATTTTTCTTCTGCAGAAATTGGAGACTTCACTCTGTTTGTGGATTGCTTTTTTAAATCGTTTTGAACTAGGCTTAACACAAAATTAAATTGATCTTTATTAAGTTTGAAGAAGCTACGAAATTTTTCTTCATCAGCATTTAGATGATTCTTTATAAGGATCTTGTAATACCCTTCTTCATTTCGATATTCATACATCTCACTTATTTCATTGCGCATCGATAACAACAGCCTCAGATCATCATCGTGCTCTTCTTCTAATAACATTAATGTTCTTAAAATATTCCTATTCATCATGACAACTTTCACTTAAATTGAAGTTAACTAACTACCTGAACACAGAGCAGTACTGGGTGTACCCACGACTGCAAAAAAACTCGGACGCCAGACGCTTTTGGCAAATCTAAAAACCGATGCGGCCAGCGGTTACTGCCCGCCGTCACGGCGGACCGCGAACGCTGGACGACGCTAGGAAATCCCACCTTAATAAGGATAGTCGTTCGTTAGTAATCAAGTGTGTGGAGATATTTCGTACCTTTTAGCGTCGCGAAAGGAAAGATTCTACTCTCTTATATAGTGCGGTTCGGTAAAAAGCTAAGAGAGTGCACGAAAAAATTTTGTGTGTGTCGGGCAGGTGTGTGGGAGATCGAGAAAAGCAGTTTTGGTAGAAGTGCTCTTATGTAAAAAAAGCAGACAAAAATTTGAAGATCTTTTAAGCTTCTGGAGTCAGGTTTTTGGGCTCAAAGAGTTAGTGTGGGATGTAGTTGAACCCTGCAGCTAAAAATCATAAGGTAGGATCAAATCCTTCTGTTTTAAGAAGTCGAGTCGAGAAACAACGCCGTTTTTGTTAAGAACCCGTCGAATTTTACTGTGAAGTTTCGATGTACGATTTTATCGTTAGCGGTCTGGACATTTTAGAAAAGTAATAACCTGCTGCATTTGCGTTTTAAAAGTCGCGAACTATTAGCAGGGCAAAGTGAGCTGGGCAAACAACCGTGGGCTCAAAATCTATGCTAAAACTGAACAAGGCACCAGTGGTATTAGTTTCCCACATAGTAGTGAACGTTAACCAGTATTGCAATATTTTTACCTATGACTAGTTTATTAGTCTGTCTTGTTATTTCTTTGATGAACTAAAATTTGTACTTTTAGTAACTGTTGCACGGAGCTCGGATATTATTTAGTATAGGTATACTGTATGATGTTATTTTCGTGAACAACATTTATATTTGTGACCAACACTGTTGATTTGTGACCTATTTTAATTTGTTTTCTTATTCTGTTGTCTGGATACTGGTTATCGTAGATGCAGATTCAGGCTAGTCGAAGTAAGTTTCGAATTTGGTAAGTGTACAGGGTGATTAGTAAAGACCCCAACAAACCCCTTCAACTTACACATTCAGAATTGGAAATATTTATTGGTACTGTTGTTTATATGTCAATGTTTGGTCTGCCGAGACATAGACT